CCCCAAAACCCCAAAACCCCAAAACCCCAAAACCCCTCAAGTCTTAGTCAAAAGTGAAATTTAAATTTTACAAAAATGGAGCCTAATAGCCATTCTTCAGATATTTCAGACAATAGTGGATCAGGTACTTATAGACTTACTTCTGGCAAATTCCCTAACTTTTCTGAATAGACACAGGAGTGAAGCATCCTGCCATTGACTTCAGAGGCCAGAACATTCAGATGGAATCTACCGATTATTCCAATTTAATTGAAGGGGCAGAGGAAATGGCACAGACCATCCAGCCTCATCATCCAGATAAGGATGAGAAGCTAGCATTGGCTTATGCTGCGAAGGCTAAGAAAACAGACAATGATATGACACCACCAAAGAACAACAACTATATGTATATGGACGAAAGTGAAGGGGAAGAAGATTATGGATATCCCTCTAAAGAGGACTATTACGCAGAACTAGCTGAAGGAGAAATAATGATTGATGATGACTCAGATTATCCTCCCTTTGGAGAAGTCGAAGATGATAAAGCCAATGCTATTGATCAGCTCAAAAAGGTATTCATGCATATGAAAGGGGAAGGATCCAGCCCTAACAAAAGTAAAGGAAGTAGCAAGAAAGAAAAGAAGCAAACCCTTGTAGATACTCCTAAACCAAAGCCTGCTGCGAAGAAGAGCTATAGAGAAGATGAAGAGAAGGCACCCTTCACTCCTCTCTGAGAGATTATTGATAATGAAATATTTAATGAAAGTGATTCCAGTGAAGACGAAGGCATCCCAGATTACCGTATTGGAGGTTACCATCCAGTACATGTTGGAGAAGTATTCCTGGATAGATATATTATCATCCAAAAGCTTGGATGGGGCCATTTCTCAACAGTCTGGCTTACTAAAGACCTCAAATTCGATACATTTGTAGCCATGAAAGTGCAGAAAAGTTCCCAGAATTACCTTGAAGCTGCTTATGATGAAGTTGAAATTCTAGATGTAGTGTCAAAGAAATGGAAAACTAAAGTTTGGCAAGATTCTTTAAACCAATATTACAGAAACCTTCATGAAGAAGAAAAGAAAGCTACAAAGAATAGTGACTGTTATTGTGTACAACTGCTGAATTCCTTCCTTCATTATGGGCCAAATGGCAAGCACTTTGTCATGGTCTTTGAAATAATGGGAGTAAATTTATTAGAGGTTATCAAAAAGTATGACTATAAAGGAGTCCCTATACCACTAGTTAGAACTATGGCAAGGCAATGACTTATTGGGCTTGATTATTTACACAGACTTTGTAATATCATTCATACCGATTTGAAGCCAGAGAATGTGCTCATCTGCTTGACAGAGGAGGAAGTTGATCAAATCGCCAGAGAGAATAGACTCAGTAATAGCAAGAATAATCAAAAGCATCTCAAAAAGGATAGAAACATAGCACAATTAGCTCTCGGAGATGCTTTTAAAAATATTATTACTGGAGAAAATCCAGCTGATAAACCCAAAATTTTAAATGCTCCTTCTACTTTAAAGCCGATTGACCCTTCAAAGCCTCTAGCTTACGATAACTGTGAGGGATATGAGGTAACAACGTATGCTGACATTGTTCCAGGATACTCTGGATTTAATAAAAATAAAAAGAAGAAGGCTAGAGTGAAGCATCAGGCAGAACTTCTTGAAATCAATACTCAGAGATTTGAGGAATTTAAGCAAGCTTCTAAAGAAATTGCACAACAGATTGAAGAAGAGAAGGCTGAAGAAGATAATGAAGCCCAAGTTATTGATGAGGAGAAAGATAAATCTCAGGATGACAACGAAGAAGAAGACAAAAAGGACAACTCCAAAGGTTCTAATATTGATGAAAGAGTCAGACTCAAGATCTGTGATCTCGGTAATGGATGTTGGACACACCACCACTTCTCATCTGAGATTCAGACAAGGCAATACAGGTCTCCTGAGACTATTATTGGGTTGACTTATGGCACATCTGCTGATATTTGGAGCTTTGCATGCATGATCTTTGAAATGATCACTGGAGATTTCCTATTCGAGCCAAGGAAAGGAAATAATTTTGATAAGGATGATGACCATCTTGCCCAAATGATGGAAATTTTAGGGAAAATGCCTAAAAATATTGCCTTTTCAGGAAGATTATCAAAAAGATTCTTCGATAAGACTGGACATTTACTTAAAATTAGAGGCCTGCAACACTGGCCACTCAAGAAAGTATTGATGGAGAAGTACAGATTCATTGAGAATGAGGCTGAAGCATTAGCTGATTTCCTCCTTCCAATGTTGGAGTGGCACCCTGAGAAGAGAGCAACCGCTAAGGAAATGCTTGAACACCCGTGGTTATCAATGGAATCGAATTATGACTATGTCTTGAGTGAGAGAGATTACCAAGTGATGATGCTCAAAAATAGACTCAACAATGAGCCATCTGGAGAGGATAATAAGGAAATGAGTGAGCTAGGTGAAAGTGATAATGACTTATTCAATGCTGACTGCGAAGACTTCAACTCAACAATGTCTGGTAAGAATCTATTTTTATTTGTCTAACTCTCTAGATGATGATACTGACGATGAGCTTTTTGTCACTGCCGATACTAAAACAATAGCAAAGAAAAACTATTTTAGTGAGGATGAAGATATAGATACCAGACTACCAGGTCCAAACTATCTGAACAATTCCTTCACTGGGCTTTATCCTGAGGATATGAACAGGAATTATGCTGATAAAGGACCAAATCAGCAATTTTTGAATTTGGATTCTGATGTTGAGTAATCAATATTTGATTATAAAAAAGGGGTTTTGGGGTTTTGGGGTTTTGGGGTTTTGGGG